AGGACTCGCGCTCAGGTAGTCCCAGGCAGGGTGCTGCAAACCGGCGCCCAAAACTACCAAGCAAACTTCTAAAGCTGAACCCCAGGGACGTGTACACTCACGGGGACCTAGCAGGGGGCGCCACCGATGAGAACAGTGGAAGGGCAAAAACAAACTGAATAAAATGACAGAACCCCCCACCAGGCAAAAACAAAAAGAAAAACAAAACCCCGCAAGAGGACAGCGAACCCCAAGGAACAGAGCCGGCCGCGATGTCGGGAAATACAAGCTGAGCAGCACCCTGCGCCCCTACCAGTGCAAACTGCCTCTTACCTGCCGGTAACAAGGGAGAACAGAACACCCAAGAGCCCAACAGGCGGCCGAAAAACCGAAAGGTAAAACGGACCAGCAGAGGCAGACCCCAAGGAGCCTGTGGAAGGCGGCCCCAAGCCCCAAGGGCAGTACTTACAGGGCACCTAGGGAAGGCAGCCCTAGGCGCATGCAGCCCGAGTACTGAAGATAACTCCTGGCTCTCGCACCCACAAAACTAACACCACACTCAAAGCACAGTGCAGTAGCGACACCGGAGCCAGAGCACACGACCATCGCCTATAGCATCAGCCTCAAGAACTGAGGTGTGGGTAGCCGGCGCGGGGGGTCTGGGGCTCCCCCTTCCCCCTCCCGGGGAGGGGGGAGCTGCGCAGACAGCGGCGCGGCAGTGTGTGACGTCACACTAATTTGCTTGTTTTCGGTTGGGGAGTTCTATCCACTAGTTCGGTATTAGGTAGCAATTTTAACCAGAATAGGGGTTTGTTTTGGGGCGCTTACCTTTCTGGGTGCCTGTTCCGGTCGATGGCAGACATAGAATGCTTCCAACTACACGGGGGCTTCTATAGGCCATTGCTCCCCTTGCCTCTCTGAGGGGGCCCGGTTCTGGCCGTGGTCCCCGGTAGGCCTAAGAACTCCATACACATGACTGATGCCAAAGTCTGACATTAGCATATCAGCCTGGGATAGCTCCGGGGAGCCGACGGGGCTCCCCCCAGAAAAGAACCAATGTGATTTGACAAGAAGGATATAGATGACAAGTAAAAAATAAGGAATCAATAAAGATTGACAAGAATAATATTCTATATTGAGATAGACAAGATTAATACTCTAAATTACTTAACTGTATTGCTATAGTTATTAATAAATAATCATAGCAAAGAATGCAAACACAATAGAACAAGTTAAAATTAAATAAGAATCAATATAACTAGACAGGAAGAATACAGGTGACAAGTAACATTAAGGATTAAATAAAGAATGACAAGATTAATATTCAATAAGATTATGGAATTAATAAAAAAAAAATGACAAAGTTAATCTTAACTACACACAGAAATCACAGTAGTATGATACTGTACATCAAATGAACAAATCCACAAGGGCCGTGATGAGGGTTCGAACCTACGTCCAGGATGATCCGAGATGTGTCTTAGTCGACTGCGCCACAACATGGTTAAAAGAATTGTAACCGGGAGTGCTACTGCCCTCACACAGATCCCACAGCCTCTCCAAGACACAAACCGGGGTTTTACACAATTCCCCCCCCATGCATCCGGGTTCTATCAACCAAATGTACTACCTTTTCGCCCTTACTTCAATACACACAGAAATCACAATAGTGTGATGCATTAAATTAACAAATACACAAGGGCTGTGATGAGGGTTCCATCCTACGTCCAGGATGATCCCAGACTCGCCTTAGTCAACTGCGCCATGACATTTGGTTGACAGAGCCTGGGTGCATGTGGGAATTGTGTAAAAACCCCAGTTGTGTTCTCGGAGAGGCTGCGGGATTCGTGTGAGGGCAGTAGCACTCCCAGTTGCAATTCTTTTAACCATGTCATGGCGCAGTCAACTAAGGAGCGTCTGGGATCATCCTGGACGTAGATTCGAACCCTCTTCACGGCCCTTGTGGATTTGTTCATTTGATGTATCACGCTATTGTGATTTGTGTGTGTATTGAAGTAAGGGTGAAGAGGCAGAACATTTGGTTAACAGAGCCCGGGGTGCATGGGGGAATTGTGTAAAACCCCGGTTTGTGTCTCGGAGAGGCTGTGGGATCTGTGTGAAGACAGTAGCACTCCCGGTTGCCATTTTTTTAACACTTTCCTTATCTCATGACACATAATGCCTTACCAATTTTTCTGCCAAGTCCTATCTCGTGACATCATTTGTGTCCAATAATAAAATATTTGTAAAAATTCACTTTTTATCCGATCAACTCTGGGATAGTTTCAAAATGAGTGCCTTTAAATTGCGCACAATTTGATATCAAAATAAAAGATGTAACATGAAACCTGATGTCAGACACTTGAAAGATTATAAATATGTTTTTTGGACAAAATTTTTAAATATTTGTTAAAATTCTATTTATTGTGTTATTATTATGGGACTAGTTTTAAAATGCTCACCTTTTTATTGTGAACAATTTGATACCAAAATGAAAATGTACGAAGATTTATGTCAGAACACTGGAAAGATATAAATAATTTTGTGATGATGAGCATCCAAATTTAAAATATTTGTTAAAAGTCTAGTTATTGCTCTATTATTATTATTATAGGACTAGTTTTAAAATACGCGCTTTTATATTGCGAACAATTTGATACCAAAATTAAAGACGTAAGACGAAAATTGATGTTATCAAACTGAACGAGTATACACATTAGGCCGCAGTGTGCAAATTGGTGCTCGTTCATGGATAATTTTAGGCTTTGCTGTGGGAAGTCACGCTGAGCTTTTGGACATTATATGCATATACACCTGCAGGGACTTTAATTGAGAACACAATGATACCAAAACGAACGACATAGTACGAGAATTAAGGTGAGAAAACTGAAACGAGTATACACATTTTACTGATTTTGTGCGCTTATGGGGTAACTTTTGCTGAATTTAGGCTTTGTTGTGAGGAGTCATGCTGGGCTTTTGGACATTATATGTATATACACCTGTAGGGAATTCTATTGCGAACACACTGATACCAAAACGAACGACGTAGCACAAGCATTAAGGTGAAAAAACTGAAACGAGTATACACATTTTGGTGTTGCCGCATGCTCGCTGGCACCGCTGGGAGTATGACGTCAAAGTCTGCGGTGTGCCCGCACCATGCGCAAAAGTGTTAGCCATGGTGTGGCACAGTCGATTAGGCCGCATCTGGGATCATCCTGGACATAGGTTCGAACCCTCCTCACAGCCCCTTGTGGATTTGTTCATTAATCCTAACTAATTAATACTGATTAATGTAATCTTAATGATAATTATATATATTTAGCTTAATTATGATCCTATAATTAATGATCTTAATACTAATTAATGACTAATCTTAATTAAATTCAAAGATAATAGGTATTATAATAATACACATTACAAATAATTACATAATACACAATACAAACGAGTAGGCTTTTGCCAAGATACTGAGGTAGATACTGAAGCAAATAAGCACATGGAGACTACCAAGCAGCTAGGAACTTTTATAGCTGAGAGAGCATCATTTACCTAATTAAGTGAAAGACAGCATCTTGGACAAGGTTAGGCTAGGTAAGGCGTGGTCACTCATGAGATATTTCCAGTATTGACATTCGAAGACTGCTGGCTTTCAGATATGCCACAGTCATTAAAGAACGTCATTAGTTGTTGGTCACACTTTATTTCAAATCTTTTTCCTGTTCTTTTCTTTTCAATGATCGTTCCATTCTTAGCATAGCACTGCTTGATAAGACTTGGGTTTTGTTTGCAAATTTGATGCGGCCTGTAGAGGAGGGATACACGCTGTTGGTAAGGCACTCATTGACACAAAGGTTAGTTTTTTGATGTGCAGCTGATTGGATGAGGTCACACTTCACAGCGGAATTTGCGAGCTTAATGAGCATTAGCCTAGTGCTGCGAGGACTGTTTTTATCTATCCTGACAGCTGATTTGATATCAACTTTAACATTGATCTTTGAATTAATTAGGTCACAGCAGGGTACTTTACAGCCGTTCTCACCTTTAGTTCTTCTGGTACATTAGCAGAGCTAATTATTAGAGAGTCATGCAGTTGCTGTTACTCTATTTTGCTGTGAATTGCTTGATTGTTGTTCGATGAGGAAGCGACGAGGCGATCTATGGTTAGTTGTTGTCGAGAGACTGTGGCTTGGGGGACCTCAATTACTTCAGATTGCTGGAACATTAGGTTGTGTAGTTTCTTCAGCCATTGGTTATCCCATAGTGGTTTGAAATTTATACAGAGAAGCATGAACTGAGTGACTACTACCACACATTCCAAGTCTCATATCTCCCACACGTAACCAGTCTCCGTGGTGTAGTGGTAAGACACTCGCCTGGTGTTCCGCGAGCGCTATGTCATGGGTTCGTATCCTGGCCGGGGAGGATTTACTGGGCGCAAATCCTTAACTGTAGCCTCTGTTTAATTAACAGTAAAAATGTGTACTTGGTTGTAAAAACAATTCTTTGCAGCGGGGATCGTATTCCAAGGGACCTGCCTGAAACGCTACGCGTACTAGTGGCTCTACACGAATGTAACAACTCTTGTATATATCTCAAAAAAAAAAAAAAAAAAAGCAGCAGCATTTCAGGCTATTGAGCTCCAGCCATAACCTTGCTCTACAATAAATCACTGGAACTCCAAGCCTTCCCAAATAATCTTAAATTGGCTAAAGTCATCCCAGCCCATAAGAATAGTGCTCTCACTGAAATCAACAAATTTAGACCCATATCAATCCTGGAAATATTTAGCTTGGAATACTGGTTTTTATTCCAAAATGACAGTGATTATTGGCATAAACTACTATATTATATAATCTGTAGTTAAACAACAGTAGATATAGTATTTTGCATTATTTGAAACAGCAAAAATATACCAAGTGCTGCTTCAATAATTTAGATGAGTGAACAGGGCTATAGGTACAGGTATACTAATACCAATGTATTGTACTGTACTCAGCGTGGAGAACTGCACAAACCTCTTGAAAATTGAGAACTTAAAACGCATGTGTCCGTATAATCATGGGAGCCCCCTTGGTGTCATGCTGGAGGATAAACTTCTTCAAACTGCAACTGAGCCATTGACACTACAATGTTGTTGGTAAACTTAGTGTAAATAGTGTCAGGTGATGCCATCTATTGGGTGTTGTTGTCACTAGCGGCGAGCGAGGACGCGTTCCGCTGCCTCACTCTGATCAAGCCCAGCGCGTCCCGTTGCCTTCACTGCTTACAAGAAAACTCGTGCCCTCATTCCATGTGGTATTCCACCAGCCAATTATCATATAGATGGGCGAGCACTTGAGAACTGCGAGTCTTACAGATACCTTGGTGTCCCCATTAACGACCCTGGGTACCTTTCTTCTCTCAAGAGGAAACTTTGGGAGAGATTAAAGCCCTTGCGGGTCCTTGTTGGTGTCAATCATGGACTTAACGTGAGACTTGCTAGAATGTTTTATGTATCATTTATACGCTCTGTGATTGACTACAATGCTCTACATCTCACACTGTATACTGACAAAGAGCGTTGGTTGATTGAAATAATAAATGAATGTTTTAGTGAGGGGGGATGGATGCGTGCCTGTGTCCCTGCCTCACTTCAGGCTTGACTGCCTCATTGCCTGCTAGCCTGCCTCACTTCTTGCCTGCCTGCCTGCCTGCTTTCTTGCTTGCCTTCCTGCCTGCCTCCCCTCCCTCCCTCCCTGGATCTCCCTTCCTCTGCCTGCCTGCAGGAACTGTGTGTACAATATTTTCACTATTCTGTTGAGGCAAAGTGATGATCACGTTGTTGTTGTTGTGATGATTTAGGGGCGACGACGATCGTGGGATCGGATGCGCCCCGGCTGCCCGATACCGGGAAATAGCCAAGGGATGGGGTCCCTATAGTCTCTTCAGGCCTGATGACCACGTTTGTCTGACTTTTAAACTCGTGTAAGCCATTACCCGCTCGCTCGCTCCAGGGTGTTTAATGCCTACCAAACAGCTGCCGCTATTGTTGTTTTTAAAATGATCCACAAAAAAAAATCCGAACAGGCGTAAGATAAATAAGCGAACACAAGTACAGGGGGGAACTGCAGCGCTAACTGGTATTCGAGCTGGTTTAAGCAAATATTGATAGCGTTGTGTGTGTGTTATTGAATTTGCTTGGCTAAAACTAGTTTAATAAGTTGTGGCGTCAACTGCAGCTGTGTTAAGTGTGTTTATATCGTGTTTTATTTTACAACTTTTGGTGGCGATGGTATCTTGGTTTTAAGCTGTTTTGATGATAGTTGGCGCTGTTCAAGACCTGAAGTAACTAGGGACTAAAACTAGTGTTATATACCGCTGTTTGGCGGCTCCTGCGGCAGTTGCCTTGGTGACTGGTATGAAACAGTTCAGTTCATTCTTCAGTCAGCGGTTTCGGGAACAGTTAATGCGGTCCAATGCAATAATGCGGAATTAATGCAGTTAATTCACCGCTTCTGATGAAGAATTCTAGATTAGATGACTATGGTGTTTTTACAAAGCTTAACTAAATTTGTAACTGCAAAATCGATTTTTGTTTATGGTTTGACCTCATTTATCCGTTCAAAGTATTTTTTGCAATCATGATATCTAGCCTGAATACTGATCAACTTGATTGTTGCAACTGGTTCAGCTATGGCGATTGGGTTTGAATGATGCTTCATAGTTCAATGTTTCTGAGGGGATCAGCCGGGAGACAGCAACAGGCAGGAGCAACAACTTATGCGCGCTGGTAAAGTTTATTTGTAATATTTGACATATGTATAATTACATATATATTTAAATATGTAGACTTTGGATGATGATGGTTCCTCTGAGTCCCTTCGGAATGACATCAGGGAGATATAGGATCAAGAGGGGCAACTTTGGCTTCACTTTGAACCCTTCTGAAGTCTCTCAAGCACGTAAAAGTCTCTCCTCAAACTTAAGTTTCACAAATTAAGCAAACACATACTTGCCCAAAGTTTCAAAAGATGAGTCTTGACTCCAGCACTCTTCCTAAGAGCTTAATTCTCTTGGGATTCGATGCCATCGATGAGAAGAAAATTGCGGATCTACAGAGGAGGGACGATAGGGTTACCGACTTCGATGCTCACGATGCATTCAACCTCCCTACCACTTTGCCCATTCCAGCTAACCAACTTTTTGAGATGTGTTCCGTTCTATTGTGGTGGCAAGCTATGAGTACGACGGCCTGACCATGTTGGTGAAAGTCCTCAACTTTCTTTTCGATGATTCGCATTGAAAACAAACCATTTTCTATCCTCCACGGCATCTAATGACATGACCAGGAAATCCTACCAGAAGGCCTCAGACTTTTTAACAGGCGTTCACGGCCCAACAGCTTGATATTGCTTCTAACTAAGAGAGTCTACTTGTAGAGTAAGCGGCTGCATAGGTGTCTAAGCCAACACAAACCTCTTGTGATTACGCTCCTCTCACAGCTGTTAGTGCTCCTCATGCGTGGGATTTTCATTTGGTAATATGCATTTGAAGCACGAACCTCGAAATTACTTGCCCTTCGTATCAGTGACTCCGCCTCCCTGTCCAAGTTCAGACTCCAGACAGGTGAATTTCCGACGAGAAAGACACCAACTACAATAGCCCGCATGATCTGAACTGCGAGAACACTCCAGGGGGAAGACACACACACACTCACGACACAAGGAAGTCCTCGAGTATCCTCAAGAAACAACAATGGTTTCTAATGTCACATAATTCTGCCTATCCTTCTTGGCCTCTTAGATGGAATTACATTATATGCATGCAAGTTCAGAAGGTCATTGGAGTGGGAAAACACACAGGTATCATATCACACATATACTGCAGGCTGCCTGCTTAACACGTGAATACAATTGTCTCATTCCACTGCGAATGAAATGTTTAGTTTTACTTATAAATCGCTGGAAAAATCACCGTTTTGCTTACAGGTCGTTGGAAAAAATCAGTTTTGCTTACAGCTCACTGGAAAAATAGCAATAATTATCACCCATGAAACTGTCTTAATTCATTTGTGAAAACTATTGAGAGTCTTTCAACAGCGGGTTTTCACCAGATCATCCATGTTGCTTTCTCTCTCTCAGGTAACGTCGCGTAACGATGAGTCCCAATAACGTGGCTAAAGATATAAGGACCAAACCACACGTCACAGGATGAATTAAACGCCTTCATCGTCACGTGAAGAGTCATTCATTAACCAGAGCTGTGTACAAATGAACAAATCCACAAGGGCCGTGACGAGGATTCGAGCTTACGTCCAAGAACATCTCTGTGTAGTTGCAGTTCATTTTAATGAGATGAGTTGGCTTGGCACCAGGTTAGGAATATTCCACAATTGGCCGTTTGCCTGCGATCAGGCGTTTAACCTGCATTTTTGTTGTTGTCAAAACGGGTAATTACCGATGCTGCTGTTGTAAAGGCGTTTTTGTGTGCAGGCGGCCAATGAAATTTGGCACGTGTTGTTGAATTTGGATACATTAGGCCGATGTATTTCTTAACTCTTTTAATTGTTTTATTTGGTATATTTTCATACGTATTTGTAATTGTATTTGTGCATCAATTGGGTCAATTTATGTGCTGGTAGTGGTTATAGTCGGGTGGTTAACGAGCCTCGGCGTTAACCATTCAACGAAGCCTGTTGAACAAATCCACAAGGGCCTTGAAGATGTAACGGTTCTATTGTTACGTAAAGTATGGTGACAAATAAGCACAGCCACTAAGATACTATATATATATTTGGTCGAATATACAGAAGTACACAGGTGATACTTTGGTGTGAGTTGAGCGCACTGAGCGTTGGTACAGTATCTCGCAAGTGTCTGCTCTAGACCACACTTGCAAGTAGACTCTGGTTAATGTTTGATTGATTGATAAAGATTAAGCCACCCAAGAGGTGGCACGGGCATGAATAGCCCGTAAGTGGTACAATTTTTTTTTCTCAGTGTTCTGAGGTTGCATTTAACCATCAAGCTGTTATCGTGGGGGAGGATACTGCTTCACAGTCTTTATGAGGGTGTCCAGCTGCTGGACACCTTTGTTGACCAGGAGAGTGGCTGTGTTGATGGCTTCAGGGTGGCCACTGCATGATTCAGGAACTCTTAAAGCTCTTCTAAGGTCATTGGTTGCTTCACATTCCAGAAGATAGTGAAGTAATGGCTTTTCTGTGACAGTTTGGCAGAAGATGCACTCTCTCTGTCGGGGTTCACCAATCTCCCAATTGCATCTGTAACCTAGACGTAGTCTATATAGCCTAACTGCTATTTCCCTGTGGATTCCTTTTGGGATATTTAACCTTTCTAATTTGGTTGCCTGAAGATACCATGTTGCAGATGGCGAACCTTCAGCTATTCTCTGGTGCAGGTAGGCTTTGTTGAGATGTGAGAGTTTTTTGATGATGATGTTTTTTATGTTCTCTAGGCTGGGTTGAATTGTTTTATGTATCACTGGATGACGAGTTGCCAATTTAGCAATTTCATCAGCTTTTTCATTTAATGGGATTCCAATATGGGATGGGATCCAGTTTAAAGTTATGTTGAGGCCTTTGCCTTTAGCGACTGCTCCTTGATACAAAATGGTGGTAATTATTTCCACATTATCTTTCCACTGTTTTTGTCCTAGTATTTGAAGTGCAGCTTTTGAGTCTGTGTGTATGATTACATTTTGAGTGTTTTGTGCAATCACATATGCGAATGCCTGTTGTATGGCAAACAGCTCAGTTTGGGTCCAATATGCCTGAACGCTGGTCGTGCAAAGAGCAGCGCCAGCACTCTCATTTTCTGTGTCCACCGATCCGTCTGTGAAGATGTGGGTGGCTCCTGCTACTGCTATGCTATACATTTGCTCTTCTATTATGCGCCTTAGGATTGTCGGATCATAGGCAGCCTTTTTCATTGGGAGACTTTCTATTACTATTTTGAAAGTAGGCTCTTCCCACGGCGCGGAAGGAGTGTAATTTGGGTGTGGATGATCACCCTCTCTATCAAGAATCATGTTTTTTAAATGTAGTCTGTTTAGGACTTTTCCTGCTCTTGCAACCCAAGAGTTTCCATTGTTTTGGCCTAGTCCAATCACCAAGGCCTGCCGTACTGGGATTGGATCAGAAGAAATAATTATCTTACTGATAATTGTAGCTGTCCTTTGTGATATTCTTTCTTGTAGAGAGGGCAAACCCGTCTCCAGTCTAAGAGTTTCAAGCCTGGTCCAC